TTACCTATTTCACGCCTAAATCTAAATTTGTCTAATTTAAAACCATTGTTACGAGTTCACTACTTGCGATCAGACGTACAGTACGTTTGTCCGTGCGTCTGTGTGGTATTTTTTGACCGGAAGTTAACTAGCCCAACGTATTTCACGCGATAATTAAACACCCTACCTGGGAGGGGGGCGGGGTTAGCGTTTTCTTTGGTTATAGTAGGTTTGATTTAGGGTAGGTTAGGTTTGGTAAGCGGTAAGTTAAATTAGGTTAGGTTAACGTTAGGTTGGTAAGTTTTGAGAAGTTCTGGTTTTAATATATATATATATATATATATATATATATATATATATATATATATATATATATATATATATATATATATATATATATATATGCAAGTAAATCACTGTAGGTGCAAGTGATCTAGGTATATGCTGATAACCACAAGGAAAGAAGAAACACGAAGTTCCCAAGCGCTGTGGTTATGTATATATATATATATATATATATATATATATATATATATATATATATATATATATATATATATATATATATATATATATATATATATATGGAAATGTGTTGATTAATGTGGGAGATAAATTCTTGGGTAGTGAGGCTGATGTCACCCAAATACGGGTGTAGATTGCTTCATGCCGGGGGGGGGTCGGGTCTTGGTAGCTCTCATGTTGCCTGTTGTTTTGGTAGCGCGGTAGGTCAAGGTGGATCGTGTGGTGGTGCCTATGTCCCAGGTGGTGCGTCAGGTTGTGGTGATGATGATGTGTCAGATGGTGGTGGTGATGTCAGATGGTGGTGAGGGTGTGTCAGATGGTGTGTGGCGAGGATGTGCCCGGTGGTGGTGGAGGGTGGAGGGTTGGGCGTGGTGAGGATGGATAGTTTGGTGTGGGCGTGGTTTGGGTGAAGGACTGGGTGTGGCGTTTGGTCAGTAAGGCTTGGTAAGGATGGAAGGTTGTATGTGGGCGTGGTAAGGATGAAAATCTAGATGCGGGTGTGGTGAGGATGTTAAGGGTGGATACGAGAGGCTTCGTGGGTATAGCGGGTGAGTCTGCATTAGCCTTCCCCCCCTAATGCAGACTTGGCAGGGGACGACGTCACCCTCAACCTAACCCTCACCCTTCGTATCATCAACATGGTAATATAGCCAGCGGGGACGGTGGCCGTACTCACAACCGTAATATTCAGGGATTTGATGCGAGGTGTTACGGTTACCTGTGCGTGTGGACGAATTTGCGGGGCAGGTGACGTGAATTTACGGTTAGGGTATTTTGGAGAGGGTCGTTACGTCACACTGGAGGCGGGGAGATGTTGCTCTGCTGTGATCTCCCCGCTATATACCTGCTTCTCATCCAGTATACCCGCTACCCGCCTTTCTCTTAACATACCCACTACCCATACCCACACCCCACATGGTTATCCAGAGTCACGGTGAACGCAAATGATCACAAATTATCATCAGTTGTAAAGTATTGTAACTTATGGACACAGACAAGAACCAAATTTACCACATCAGGTAGAAACATGTTGCTCGAGGTTGCTTATGCTTGCTCGTTACACTTACTGCTGTGCTATATTTGTTTATAAATCAGTTAATCACTTGATTGAGAATAATTATATCCAGTTCCGGACAAACCAGAGGTACACCTTAAGATACCCAGACCTACTAAGACCCCCCCCGCACAGTCGCTGTCTCGGTCCCACACAGCCATAAAATATTTGGCCGTCACGACATGATCCTGACTGTGTCTCCCTCTGTTTCACCCGACACATCTCATGTATCGCTTCCATCCACTTAACACATTACTCTATATCAACTATACTCTCCTGTAAAACTGTTTATGTGTTTATAATATAAATGTACGAAACCTAATAAAATAAATAAAGTGATAAACGTGGTAACATTCTAAAATGTATTTAACAACACCATGTTACATGTAGTAATCCAGATGATACTAAATATTATGTAATAATTCCTTGAGGTAAATGTACAGTAGAGCATCCGGTGAGCATCGGCAAAATTTTCATATCCGCATCAAGAAAATGTGAATGTTGCGGATTTGTAGAGCTTGGGATTTCTATAATATTTATGCAATATATTTTACACACACACACACACCTACACACACCTCTACCTGGATAACAACACCCTTGGCTCTCAAGGCTACTGGGGGCAGATTTCAACATCAATAATCTATTTATGTCTTCCCGTTGTAGAGTATAAACTGAACTAGAATTCAGAATAACACCACAAATAAAATTATACATTTAACTTCAACGGATATATATATATATATATATATATATATATATATATATATATATATATATATATATATATATATATATATATATATATATATATATATATATATATATATATATATATATATATATATACACACACACACACGGTAAGGCAGTGTTATCATCTTTTAAGTGCAGTTTTTAATAGCGTAAGAAAGTGTTTGATGTACACTTGTACAGGGTATAAAGTTATATTATTTTTAGCTTGATAACCTTTTTTAAGTGAATTTCGGTGTAACATTAACACCCGTATTCTTCCTGTCATTGCCAAATGCAAGCTGCTGGAGTCATCTCATCTTACTAACGCTGGTACTAATTAGGAAAGCACATTTAAGACAATATATTAACTTTTTTAGCAGTTTTATAAGTGAGTTTTTGTCTGGAAAATATACGCTGGCGATATTCTTACCCAGAAATATTAAAATGGATAGGGGCAAATTTCGCTGGGAGAAAATCGTCACCAAACTTTATGCGTCATATATTAATGAAGTAAGTATAAATATACTTAATGCAGCTTTTTAGCATTTTTTTAAGTGAGTTTCTGTCTGGGAGCCAAATAAGAAGTCTCTACCTTCCATATAACGGAATTAAATAAGTTTTCTCAGAGATTGAAGTCATCTGCACCCTCTTCAATGTAACCTACTTCGCAACAAAATAATGTTTTTAACTTAATTTATTTTAATGCGTGTCCAAATCTTCTTTAATTGAACCTTGTTGCTACTCGCAACCATGCTTGCTTCCTTAAAGCAACAAGCTTTCCACAAGTATTTTTATTTTGTAAAATCTTTTCCTTCCCAATCAAATGGACTAATAAATCACGTTCTCTCTGCGATATAGGACTTGCCCTTGATGATTGGGAGGAAAAAATGTCCTTGATGAGAGCGCAGTCCTCTTAATTATAGCGCCAACGAAGGTAAACAAACACACACGACCCATAATGCATTAGCGAGGTGGACAGTATTACCAGACCTGCCCTACTTGGTCCCACACGAAGGGGAAGAGGTTCGAGCAATTAAAAATACCGTGTGAAAGAAGACTCTTCGTCAGAGAGGGAAGATGTTTAATAATACGGGCGTAACTGCTACGATACCAGATGAACTACAGTATACGGTACAGTCAATGAATCTGTCACTGTGTGGGTCTTCTCGGGTCTAGTTGTGTAGTCTGTTGCTTAATTTAAGTAGGACGATGGACTTATCAGAACCAGTACAGTAAGCTGATGTAACAGTGGGATCATAGGAAGATTAGACACCCTATCTTATTAAACCTGAAGATTAACTATAACCTATTAACCTAACGCTATCTTAGCGAGGTTAGGTTAGGTTAGGTTAGCGTTAAGGTAGTTAATCTTCGGGTGAAAGGAATTGGAGTGTCTAATCTTCAGGTGACCGTAATAATATAATGGCAGGAAGAGTGTAGTGTACCCACGAGCCGCTGTTCCCTCCATCAGTGTTTGTGTGCCAAGATTTTCGTGGTTACATCATCATCTTTAACTTTTTAGCTCTAGTGTGGGTATTGTGAGGCGTGAGCACCTTCACCAGGTACACACCTCAGAGACGCCTCCTTCATGCCTGCCACCTGATGTACTTGAGTTTAGTTTTCGGATCACCTGAAGATTAAACCCCCCAGCTTATTTCAATTATTAGTTAAACACCCTAACCGTACCTGGGGGATTAGGTTAGGTTATGATAGGTTAGCGTTGGGTGGTTAATCTCAGGTGAAATAAGTTGGGGGCTAATCTTCATGTGGTCCCAATTTCTTTTATCGTTTTAATTTAATGTTTGTTGTATTCAAGTGATGACCGTCACTCGTCTACAACACCTAAAGCTGTAATTCTTTCACCCGTGAGAGTGAGTGAGTGAGTGTAGCAGCGTCTAAACGTAAACTAAATAACGGATCAACAAATGAAGGAGAGTAGTACATCAGTTTACCTTGAGATGACGAGAGAGGCGCATGGTTTGGGTGGATTGATAGAACTGTGGCTCTCAAGGTTATTGAAGATATTGTCCAAGACGTGGGATGTTGTCTTGTTTACGGAGTTGGTTGAACGTGGAAGCGGTGGTGTGTATGGGGTGGGGGGCGTACTTATAGAGGGAGATAATACGGTGGCGAGGAGGTGATGGTGTGTATGATGACACTCCAGGTGTCAAGGTTGGCGCCAAGCGTGTTAGTGGCTCACTGACACCCTGATGAAGACGATACTGCACCCGCCTCGTGTGTTTGTTTCTTAGCTGCAGGTAATAGTTTAATACGTTCAGAGCCAATCATGACCCACACCCGTCTGCCAGTGTTGATATATGTTGGTGTATGGTAGGTGGGGGAGGTAAGGCAGTGGTGTTGGCTCGGTGAGGGAGGGTGATGGGGAGAAGAGCTGGCAGAGGCCGCATCCGTTGGTAAAGCCGGGTCCCAGCCTCCACCTCCGCCAGTCTCTCACGCGCCTGCATGACGCCCCTCACACGCTACCTCACACTCCCTCCGACACGCCCCCTCTTCTCAGGATCACGCCCGACTCTGCTGGCCCGTCACCAGCATTGTACCGCACCACGTCTCAGGGAGTTCACCAGCCTTCTTAGTTACTTGTGTTAGTGATAATGGTGACCAGTGTGTCCAGTATGGTTAATGGGACTTAGTAACTTACAGGTTTCGAGTGTGATTGTCTATTGACACTGAGAGGATGTGTTTATAGTGTGAAGTGGACAGTATGGCAACTCCAGTGTCCGAGGACTTAGAGGTCAGTGGACAAGAGGGCAGGAGAGGCTCTGGAGACGCGTTACTCGCCGCCTTCGAGTCTCTTCTGCAGGAGACAGACAGTGCTGCCCGGGAGTCCTCACCAACAACCAAATGGTCGTCTGAAGAGCTGCTGGCGTCATGCGAGGCACTACTGGATGATGTCCGTGAAGCCCTCATGATACAGGAGCTGACCTTGCCTGCTGGTGATCACCCTCCAGGACACGCTCACTCCTCAACCTGTGTTTATGTCTCTCCCTCACAAGTCCCATCAGAGTCTTCAAGGATACCGTCATTATTACCATCTTTACCATCAACATTACACTCATTGCCAGCAGTAGTGCCAACTAAAAAACCCTCAGTAACAACATCTCCACCTGGGTGCTCAGGAAGAAGTGAGCAGCGTGACCCAGGTGTGATCACTAGAGCATCAGCAGCAGCGGGCCAGTGTTTCCCCCGGGCTGGCAGCTCGCGGGACCCCATCATCCTGGGAGGGTGTAGCGGGTGTGTGTGCTCGCCCTCACAGTGCCACGCCTACCCCACATCGCCACCACTACCCTACGACACCCAACATTCCTCCCCACCGCACACACCTGCTTGGGACTCACCGCAACTTATGTCGTCTCTCATACACGCAGAACGTTCGCCACCGATGGCTCGGAAATCCTTGTCGCACCGGCTGTGTGAAGCACCACCTGCCTCTCATCCCCAGCTGATGCTGACTCTACCGCAGCACCACTCATCAGCCTTAGTCATATCCCCACCTCAGTCACTCTTTCAACAAGAAATGTCACTTGAAGATTCACCACCGCCAGTAAAATCACCACTAGAACAGCCAGCACTGGTAGTAGAACCACCACTAGAGCCAACCTTACCATTGGTAGGGACACCTCCCTTACTGCAGTCCCAAGTGATGTTAAAATCATGTTCATCCGTGAAGTTCACTTGTCCGGAAAAAAGTGCAGTAGGTGTGTCAGTTACATTAGAAGACCCAGCACGAGTGGATGAGTCATCTACCCCAGAAGTCTTGGGTGTGAATGGCTGGGTTGACAAGGTGGAGCGAGCGTGGCAGTCTTTGACAGTGCCCGACCCTGCGTCCTCACCTCTGCCACACCAGCTGATGCAGCTACCGGGAGAGGAACAGCTAATGGAGAAACACCACTGCTCGCCTCACCGTAAACGCGAGATGGGTCACTTGTACCAGCAACATGGTAAAGATAGCGGTGTTACTAGTGTCATACGAGACTGTATATTCCCCGGAGACACTCTATCCCAATTGGCTTTAACTACCACCAGCATCACCACTACCACGATCGCCACTACCCCTCTCACCCACGCTACCCGGGGAGGTTTAAGTCCCTCCCTCGTCCACAGTCAGCGTCGTACTGTCTCCTATTCCCCCGCCCACAGGGCGGTTCCTTCTTCGCCTATCACTACCTCCTCTAATGCATGTGAAGAGAAGACGCCAACTCTTCCCACCGCCACACACAGTTGCTCCGACATTTATGTTAGCATTTCATGTCCTCCTTGTGCTACATATGTTCCCGGATCTCCTGTAGGTGACCACACTTTTTGCCACAGCTGCACCACTGTAACGTCATCTCCAGCTCAGGTGGGGCTCCAAGCTTGCCCAATTAATACGCATGCCCACATCCCTCTGTCTGTCGACCACATCTCAGACACTAATAATGTCGCCGTGAATGATTGTTTGGAAGGTAAAGCCGGCCACCGCCAGCATAGGGGGTCTCTCAGTCACAATACAGAAAAGGTCTTGGGTATAGAGGAAAGAAAGTGTGGTGGCGCCGCTTGTTCGCCGAGTAGAGCACAAGTGGTCAGCAACACTTGGCTCCTTAACACTAGCTTGTCTCCTGACAGCAGCTCTTGTCCCAGCCTTGATAATGTACTTGTTGGGGATACTCTCTTTTCTGACAGTGATGAGGATCAGTCTATCTTCAGCTTCAAGACTTGTAGTTCGGGTGATGACGAGAGTGAGAGCATTGGTGATGATGGTGGCGCCTGGTGCTCCTGTGGCGAGGTCTCCGCTACTGACGGTGATGCGGGGACAGATGCCGATAGTGAATATAGCCTCGATGGGTTCTTGCCATCTACTGAGGATCTCTGGCAGTGGAACCCTTCATACGAAGATGACGACCAGATAGGCGCGCCTGTCTTTACTAGTGGAGACGACGACAGTGACACAGGCACGGTGGCATCACAGATATTACGAGGACAACACACGGCCCGGTGCCAAGTCTTGTTGTCCAGAGATGTGCCAGGCTTTCCTGCCTGCATGGCGACTCATGGGCAAATTTTATTTACATCAGCAGATGGTGACCGGCTCTCAGAGCGGAGACAAGGGAACTTGCTGTGGGCAGAAAAGAACAGCAATCCACCGGATAGTGTCTGTGACCGTCACTGTGTGCAGGCATCACACCCTGCAAGTTGTGGGTGGTCGTGTGGCACTGGTGGAGCACAGTGTGTGTCGCTAACCACTCATGGTGCCAATGGCCTCTCATTTCATGCCCAAACTGGTGACTGCGTAGACCGTTTGGCCTTGGACACTCACAGCTCTCGCACACACTCAGCTTTACTCCCACAACGCCCAACTACCAAGCAGCATCTGGCGACAGTCATCCGTCGCCGGGTAGTGTGTGCTACGGATAAGGAGGAGGCCGAGGAGGGGGCATCTGGAGTAGCGGGAGAGAGGAAGGATGGGTCGGCCCCGCCTCAAACGCTGCCATCAGTGCCCCATGAACTGTGCCGCGACCAGCAAGTGGTGCACCGCCCTCCTGATCCTCTTCTCTGTCCCAGCCAATCCCACCACCACACCCACACTGCTGGCGGCCCTCACCAGCTTTACACAAACGACCAAAATTTGATGGCAGACATGTTTAGTGACAGCGGTTGTACCATTAGAAATACTGGTGAGAAACGGGTTACTGTCATAAGCGTGGACGACAGTGACTGTGGAACCTGTTTAGACCTGGACCCCGTCAACCGTATTGAGAGTGACCCAGGCGTAGAGGATGAAAACCCTCGACCACCAGCGAGGTCAGTAGTGATACCTAAACTTGAACCATCTGACCAGGATCACTCAGCACACAGCATAACTACTGAGGTTGATCCTGACGAGAAAAATCCATTCGTGGATTTTGATGGAGGTGTTTTAGTGGTGATGCCAACGAGTGATACAGTAAAATGTGACCAAAATGATACCATGGAGGATTGTGTCGGCATTTGTGGCGTGAGTAGTGACACTGACGTCATGAGGTGTGACGTCATAGGGAGGGGTCCCCAGCCCACCAGTAATGGGCCATATATAAGTGATAGTGTGTTGCGTACACAGCCAAGTTTGTTTTCGGAAGCAGTGATGCCCGTTGCTTCTTTGCGTAACTCTATTGGTATTTCTTGGTCTCCTGCTTCTACTGACGCCCTTGCTAGTGCCCTCAACACGATGAGCCCCGGAGTGAATGCCTCCTCCCACCTCACATTCTCGTCGCCCCTCCCCTTCCCCTCTCGTCCTCAACAGCTGCCCCAGCTATCACCACCGCTTCAGGCAACAGGGGCGGATCCCATGTGTGTCGCGGTGCAGAGAAGCGGCTCTGTGGCACACCAGTCTCCTCGTCCCTCCACGGGGCCAACACAAGGCTCCACCATCAGCCCTTCTTTGTCTTCACCTCCGGAATGTCTTAAGAAACCACGAGTATTATTACCCGAAGAAAGTGATAAGTATTATTGTTTACCCAGCACACAGGTGAGCAAGAAGAGAATGATGAAGACGGGGTGTGAAGGGAAGGAGGAAGTAAGAGAAGCTGTTGGCGACGAGGGAAGTGCTGAGAGTGATGTGTTTGTGGTGGTGAAACGAGGAGGACAACCTGGGGTGCCTGCTGCCACACTACCTGGGGCTACTTCGCCCAGTGGCACACTGCTCGCTACCTCCCCTTGCTCCGCCACCTCACCTCACAAGTCCCTTCACACTAGTGCGCCAGAAAGCAGATGTTACACTGTCAACAGCGGGGTTGGCATGTGTGGCAGGGACTGTCGTGACGGTGGACAAAGCCAGCGTGACACTAGACAAAACTACCATAAAACTGAGGAAGACTACCGAGATTCAGGATTACATTGGCACAACCGTAAACAATACTTAAGTGAAAGTGAACAAAAGTGGTGTAATAACAGACAAAATAAAGGTGAGAGTAAAGGGGGTGGACGTGAAAGTGGGTGGTGGGATGGAGAGAATGACTGTGGGTTGGTACACGCCCGCCCGGCCGTCGTCCTGCAGGACTGTCCCCCACATTACCCTATACACCCGTCGCTCGCCTCCCCGCCTTTACCTCACACTGACGACGCTCCCCACAAACACAGTTTTAGTCGAGGAGGACAAGAGTATGAAGGGTGCAGGAGCGCGGCACTGTCGCTGGACTCGTGCGACCTAGCCTGGTGGCAGCATGAGAGCGAGTGCCAAGTGCCACAGCAGGCTGGCACTGGTGGCGGGTTGGCGGGCAGTTGTGGCCATGGCACGGTGGGGGAGGCACACCTCGCGTGGTGTCCGGGGGAGGTGATAGGATCACTTCAGGTGCTCGTGGGGGACGTATTGTGGAGCTATCCTGTATATGGCACTGTGGACCAGTGCCATCATGATCTTAGTGTTGAATGGCAACTAGTGCTGGCTGGCCAGGGCTGGCACGTGGCTATAAATAGTGTTGGTGAACTAGTGACCATGAGTAGTGACAACAACAATATGGCGGGCATAGCGCCCTCGTCCTCCTCTCTCAAACCTGAGTCACCCACAGCTTCCAGGTCTATATACGGTTTTAAAATTGTCAACAGTGAAAAGGCTAAAATGAGGAACTTGTTGCCTGTATTCAACAACAGCAAGAGTTCCTCGACGAGGGACATTTCCAACACAGTGACCTTCCGGGTCAAGGGAGACTCCACCTGGCAGACTCACCGGCCTAACAGGAACTCTGATATGTGTGACATGCAGATGTATCGCGGCTCTGACACGAGGAGCTGCACCCCTGGGCTCCCTGAGGACAGTGATGGGGGCGCCTTCATCAAGCTATGTGGCGTCAACTTGGGCTCCCGCCCCTCCTCACCCGACCCATACCCTCTCTTCCGTTGCCACACACTACCACGGAAGGCGCCGCACTTACGGTTGCCGTCGATGACTCCGTGGCCGCAGGAGCCGCTAGCGTCGCCCGATACTTTTCCAGAATCTGATGTGTCGGCATCAGAGCCACCGTCACCCCGTTTACAGCAAGAGCACGATGCAGTTGTACAAGATGTACTGGATGCACGACATGACCTTTTTGCAGACACACCTGTTGATGTCGCGTTTTATGGTAATGGGACGAGGTCTAGGGGTGAGGAAGACACCGGCGGAAGTATTGGTATGAACGAGACGGCAGGCGAGGGACCACAGCTACACCTGTCAGAGCCAACACCGCCTTGGTCACACACACCTTCGTTGCAGCAGTGGTATCCTGCCCCTGCCACTCACTCAGGTGTTCACCCCTACAGTAGACCCACCACACAAGGTGTCAGTCATACCCCAGGCCATACATGGGCGCCTCCTGGTGTTCACCGGGTTGGAAGTGGCAACACCACTCCCCGGCCATACACGGGTGCTCATAGTCACCAGCTCCCGCACCATACTGACACAGCCATGGGTCTGTTTATTCCTCCATATGAAAAGAAGAAAGATGCTCTGGGAGGGGAAGGAGTAAGCAGCATCAGTATGGGGATGGCAGCACCAGCACCATTGTCTTCCTTTGGTGTTGAACGTCAACCTCCCCAGCAGGCAGGTACTAAACCAGCACCCACCGGGGATGTTCAACTCACTATTTACGAAGAAAATTTTTTGTCTCCTCCACCTGGTGCTGCTCCTCTTAATAATGGGGTGTCTTGTGGACGAGGTGTTAACACAGCCTCGACTCTCCACGCACCAACAAGTGGCCACCGTAGCGCTGATGTTGTAAATGATGGGCTTGCCATCAGTGACGTTTCCATCGCCAGCGCCGCCGCCAGCGGCAGCTGCGCTACTTCACAGATGACATCAACAGACACTTGGCTCAATACCTCTCAGCCCCCACCGCCGGATGACGCAGGTTGCGCCACTTCAACAGTACCTCGGGACGCCTCCACCCGTGGCCCCATGATAGAGGCGCCATATACTGATGGTTGCCTCAGACGACCTGTTGAGGGAGCAGGTATGACCATTTTCGAGAGTCAGCGAGTCAACACCACAACACCAAAGAATAATGGGGATAATTTTCCCATGTTAAGAATTGATGAGCCTCCCTTGGCTGTGTTGACGCCACAAACTACTATTCCTAAGCCTCCTGAACGTGAGTCTTCAAAAATGAAAATTTACAAGAGAGACAACATAATGCCACATTTTACTCAAAACGGAGCTTCTGTGCAACAAACTAGGCCTGAAAAAACATTGTTGCCAGCCGGTCTTGCTCAGCTAGGCAACACAAAGCCCTCTCATACACAAAAATGTCTTCCCAAGGTAGTCCCCGCCACAACAGAACTTTATGGTGATCTAACAGAACTCACAGAGGAAGTGACCGCCACAACAGTACTTTGTGGTGATCTAACAGAACTCACAGAGGAAGTGACCGCCACAACAGAACTTTGTGGTGATCTAACAGAACTCACAGAGGAAGTGACCGCCACAACAGAACTTTGTGGTGATCTAACAGAACTCACAGAGGAAGTGACCGCCACAACAGAACTTTGTGGTAATCTAACAGAACTCACAGAGGAAGTGACCGCCACAACAGAACTTTGTGGTAATCTAACAGAACTCACAGAGGAAGTGACCGCCACAACAGAACTTTGTAATCTAACAGAACTCACAGAGGAAGTGACCGCCACAACAGAACTTTGTGGTGATCTAACAGAACTCACAGAGGAAGTGACCGCCACAACAGAACTTTGTGGTAATCTAACAGAACTCACAGAGGAAGTGACCGCCACAACAGAACTTTGTGGTAATCTAACAGAACTCACAGAGGAAGTGACCGCCACAACAGAACTTTGTGGTAATCTAACAGAACTCACAGAGGAAGTGACCGCCACAACAGAAAATCTCTACCGCCACAACAGAACTTTGCGATAATCTAACAGAACTCACAGAGGAAGTGACCGCCACAACAGAACTTTGTGGTAATCTATCAGAACTCACAGAGGAAGTGACCGCCACAACAGAACTTTGCGATAATCTATCAGAACTCACAGAGGAAGTGACCGCCACAACAGAACTTTGTGGTAATCTATCAGAACTCACAGAGGAAGTGACCGCCACAACAGAACTTTGTGATAATCTAACAGAACTCACAGAGGAAGTGACCGCCACAACAGAACTTTGTGATAATCTAACAGAACTCACAGAGGAAGTGACCGCCACAACAGAACTTTGTGATAATCTAACAGAACTCACAGAGGAAGTGACCGCCACAACAGAACTTTGTGATAATCTAACAGAACTTACAAAGGAATTAAACACAGCAGAACCTTGTGACAGAAGAGAAAGTTCCTCACAAACACTGACAGGGTCAATAGAACCTTGTGATAGCCTTACAGAACTCTCACAAACAATGACTGTTACACCAGAACCTTGTCATGGTCAAGAAGAACGTTCACGGGTAGTGAGTGAGCCAAGAGAACTTCTAGTTGGTCAACAAGAACCCTCGCTGTCAGTCATTGAGCCAATAGAATTATCTCATAGTCAAGAAGAACTTCCAACAACTGTTACTAGGGCAACAGAACCGTGTCACAATTTGGAAGAACTTCCCCAGACAGTGACTGAGCCAACAGAACCTAGGTATGATGCAGAAGAACCTTCACAGACAGTGACTGAGCTAACAGAACCTAGGTATGATGCAGAAGAACCTTCACAGACAGTGATTGAGCCAACAGAACCTAGGTATGATGCAGAAGAACCTTCACAGACAGTGACTGAGCTAACTGAACCTAGGTATGATGCAGAAGAACCTTCACAGACAGTGATTGAGCCAACAGAACCTAGGTATGATGCAGAAGAACCTTCACAGACAGTGCCTCATGATCAAGAAAAATTCTCGCAGACAGTGACTGAGCCAACAGAACCTTATCATGACCAAGTACCTTCACTGACAGTAACTACCCCAACAGAACCTAGCCGCGAAGAGCTTGGTCCAACAGAGGTTGATGGTACTACAAGTGTCACCACAGAACTGCTCCCTAATAAGTGCACTGTCAGTAACCTGGAGGCTGTGTGTGTACCACTTGGCAGTCCACCGTCACCGGTAGAAGACGTGGAAGAAGGAACAACCACCTCTACACCATCAGCTCCACCGTGTGTGGTTCCTCACTCACAAAACCATACTTTACATGCTGATGATTTTGTGTATTCCGATGCCATTCAGAAAGTAGACAATAAATTGTTACATATTACAAAACTGTTTACTCCAGGCCAGGGGGAGAAGGTTGAGGGACAGAAGCACCAGGACAGTGTTACAGTGGTGATTGATGGTGTTGATGACGTCACCAACCAACACGGCTCTGACAGTGTTTGTGAAAACTCTGAAGTGACTGAAGAGCTTCTTGTGGTAAGAGACTCCTCCTCCTGTGTGAGTGATGATGAAACGAAGGATAGGACTGCTGGTTGTAGTGACAAAGATGCTGCCCCACCGTGTGATAATAATGAAGGGGTCGTGACAGAAGATAACTGTGAGGCGATGAGGAAACAACCTGTAGAAAGAGGTGCAAGGGGAGGCACGGCAAGCAGGGAGGGTAGCCTGGGCGTTGAGCCAACGACTTGTTTAGTAGGTCGAGGGACGGGGGTCAGCGAACGGGCGGCGCTCATCACCCGCCAGCAACAGGTGGGCCGCCCAACGCCTCCACGGTGTACACGGTTCCCTTTAGACATTATCTGTGGCACGAAGTTCCAGCTCCAGCACAAGGCAGGTGAACACTCCCCGTCCAGGTTAACCAGACACAGGCTCTCGTCTCTGGGCCACGTGCAACCCCTCACCCTCAGTCCCAGCCAAGCTAACAATGGCGCCAGGTCCAAGTCGGCATCACGCATCGGCTCCGGCCACGCTGAGTCTCTTCCGTACACACACGAGTCGGGTTTATGTGGAGGTGGCACGGAGGGGTCCAACTCCAACAAACCCGAGAATAACTTAAAAGCGTTGCCACCCGTCCCTCCTCCTCCTCCTCCTCCTCCTTCTGTCCTTCCAATAGATGCCGTTTTAGAAAATAAGATCAAGCTGACCATAGACTCGTGTGCCGGTAATGTATCAAATGATAACAAAGTAGTTGAACCAGTGGAGGCACCAGCTCACTGGCTCACTGGCGGTACTGAGGAGAACATTGAACCTGATGGACCACCTGAAGTTTACAAAGATGACAGGATCGAGAGTGATTGGGAAACATCAGGACAAACTATCACAGAAGCGTCTTGTCAGTGTTCGAATGACTCTCATAAGAATGTGAGTTCCACCGTGGTTGAGAGTGTAAGTGTCGATCAGGTGTTAGTGCCAGTTGATGAAGAACCACCAGGAATAGTAGAAGGATACTTCAAAGGTGACACTTCTGAATTGGTTGTTCCTTTAAGTGGTTTAAACGATCTTGAAGTAGACCAAGCCAGAGGAGATTCAGAAGTACAATGTGTAAACAAAGTGTCGCCGCCACACCCAAGTGTCTCACGTCAAGATGACCCCAGTAAGGAGGATTTACGACCCATCATAAAGGAAACTACTCCGCCAAGCACAGCAGGCGAGGAGAGGGGAGGACACTTGCAGGATGAGGAGCCGCACCACAAGTCACACCAGGAACAACAGAAGCAAGAGGAACCAAAGAAACAGAAGAACCAAGAACAGAAGCAACAAGAAGGGAGTGAAGTGTCAGAGGAGAGTGTTGAGGTGTTGACAGCAGCTGTGCCTGCCGCTCACACTCCTGCTGGCGTGAGTCACCAGCCCCACCAGACAATATCCCCTGAGTCTCCACATGAAACTGACTCATCACGGAGAGCTTCTCTTCTGAATTTTGAGCCAAATATCCTGTACATAGATGAGAGCGAGTCTGGCTCAGACTTGGGTGAACATTTCTCAGAGGAAGCGTCGGATGAACCTTCATCTGACACCAAACACGAGTGTGTTGGTCCGGAAGTTACAACTGACACCTACAGTAGGGAGGGGTGTGACAAGGGAGACCAACAGGCAGACAACGGACCCCAGGCTCCGTTTCCACACCCACTAACTCCCCCTCCACAAACTCACACCTTAACTGGGGAAGATATTGTGCAGTTATCGCCCAACGAAACTCCTGTTACAATAAATAAAGTCGTCTGTGAGTTGGAACGAAATGACTCAGTCAGCAGCGATGAGGTAGTTCCCCAGCCACAGTATGTGGTGGGTGTAGACACAGCAGCGGCTCCACCGCTAGTGTGCGATCGACGCAGCCTTGGGAGAGACGAGTCGGTGGAGGAGTACGAGCAAGCCCTGGAGGTAGTCACACCCGACCCCAGTCATGGGTTCAGCCACAGCTCGGCCAGCGTAGCCACCGTTGTGCGCGTTGACACCCCCAACAGTCCACACAACCACATGCATCTTGCTGATGATGAACTCGAGGATGAATTTGTTGACGCCAGTGACACCATAGATACTGTTAAGGGTGACGCGTGCCTGGTGAAGACAATACCTGACCTCGTCCCTCCTCACCACACCCACAGCTGCTCTCTGACCTCACAGCCAGTTACTGCGGTGGGTGTTACTTCACGAGAGGCAGTAATATCTGGGACAATTTCAGTGAGCACATCAGACTTGCAGTCATCAGGCACTTCCTGTGTATCATCAGGGGACATGTCTGGCACTCACTCAGGAGGTATCGTCGGTACCCTCTCAGTGAGCCCCTCGGGAGGGTTGTCGGACCTATTGCTCCAAGACTCCTGCCACCTGCCTATTGCTTCTCAGAACACAGGAAGCGACGCGCCCGAGGATGGATCAGTATCGTCGGGAAGTCACTTAACCGACCCTGATATGTTGGCTTCAGCCTCAGCTTCGTCGACTGGGTCTGAGACGTGGTGGACCTCGGGTGGTGGTCCCGTGGCGCGACGAGACCTGCTGCCTCTGGACGAGGACGAAGACGAGGCACATTGGCGCGCGTTGCTTGCCGTTAAAATACCGGAGAGCGAAGAAGATCCCACGGGCTATGAGAGCGACGAAGATTTTGATACTGTGGATGCTGACATGCAACGACTTGAGGAAAAGCTTAAGAAGTTTGAGAAAGAACTGGGCGAGAACAACGAAGGTGCTCCTGGAGAGGGAGAGAAAATCGTGTGTCTGCCGTATGACTCAGCATTACGGTCACAGGACATAGAGGCTCTCTGTATTTCCCCATTACCGAAGGTGTTCCCAGCGGTGAGGTCCGCCAAGACTAAACACCTTAGTCTCATGACTCGGTTGGAGGTCCAAGAGTATGAAGACTCAGCCAGCGAGTCTGAGAGTGAGTCTGAGGCCGTCTCCTCCAGTGACTCAGCTGACTTCCTCTTTGTCAAGACTAAAATTAAGCTCAAACCGGGAGACCGCAAGTGTCGCTCCCTCGACCAGAAGCGATCTAAAGACTACAATATTTTAAACAAGTCCCGTGAAGACAAGAAAAGAGGTGGCCGAGGGAGAGAGAACTCGTACGGGTGTGAAGAACAGCTGGACCTGAGTAGTTTAAACTTACCCGTAACTACTCTGGAGGAGGAGACGGGCTACGCCATCCCTGACACTCAACAGCCTGTTATGAGTGACGGTGCAGGTGGTAGCTCCACACCAACTGGCCACGACGTTAGTGATGAGTGTCCAGCCCCGCCACAGATGGTTAATGTCCCACCTGACATGGAACAATTGGGTGGTGGAGGAGAGGAGACCAGCCACGCTTTACTCCACTGTGAAGATCATATCCTCCTGGGGTACATCTGGCACGAGGAAGATGGTATGTCTTCTGTCGACTTTGAAGGGTTAGAAGATTTTCAGAGTTTCGAGGGGCAGGGAGCTCTGATGATTATGTTCGAGGACGATAATGATGATGACATGTTCTGTGATGAGCTCAGTGATGGTGATGTACTGCCCGAGGCGACAGATGTGTCGTCTGGCCAGCAGTCATCTAAGGAGTACCTGGCTGAGGGAACTGAAGGTGAGGACGAGCCGGGATGGTCCAGAGCGTCTGGGAGTAACACCCTGCCAAGAGCTCCTCAGCGTTCTCGTAGAGGTTCAGAGAGAACTTTCGTCGCTGCGTTCAAAAACAGTTTAAAAAAAGCTACTAAATACTTGGGACCAAAGAGCGAGACTCAACCAAGAAAGGCAAGCCAAGGCACCGAAGACTCTGAATGGTCACAACACAACAACAACAACAACAAAGCAACTACCGCTCATCTACCTCGTGGCCTCTCTTACCCAGAGAGACGGTGCTCTATGGGTGTGGGCGTGGGCGAAGGGAGCAGCGCGGGCGTGTATAACGTGCAGAGTGGTCGGGTAGCTGCGGTAATGACCCACAGTCCGATCAGCGACAGTGAAGGTCCAGAAGCGTACTGTAGCTCCGGTGAATACTACGCTGCCCCCGCCCAGTGTGTCAACACATCAGACGAGGACCCGCCCCCTCCCCTCCTTCCCTCTTTTGCTCAAGGCGGCCACTTCCAACCCCAAAACCATACTCTCGACATTCACAATTTCACTCACGACACCTCTGGTCCCCCACCCGCACCACCCCCTCGATGGGTACAACGCAAGTTGCATGCACCTCAAGACTTAAACGCTGGTGTCCCTCGTGGTTTGCCCCCCAGTGTACAAGGCGATTGTTATACCCATTCTGTGTTGTCACAGCCTCCCGCACCCTCAAACTCCCACGTGTTAGCTCAGTCTTCGCACACCACTACTCACACTCTGCCTTCCACAGAACTCCCCACTGATGGGAATGAAATGCAGTTTTTTCTGGTTGGCATTCCTAATATATTGCCAGCAAGAGGCGAGACTCGTTTGCCAGTGGTGAGTCCTGGTATGAATGAGCGACTAGGGGGGAGGGACAGGGAACCTATTGAAGATATGCCCCCGCCGCTCCCGGCCCCCCCAGTCTACGATGATAAGTTTGTACCTGGGGATAGCTGGCTTCCAGACAACTACCCTCAACACACGAACAGTAATTACTCGTGCGTCGTACCCAACCACAGACTTGTAAGAGATAACACAGACCTCCCCCTGGACTCTACCCTTCACGCGAGTGACGCCCCCCCTGCCTTACCCTCCCATAAACCCACGTCTGTAAAGCAGCTTAAACGGAAACAACAAGAAAAGGTTCTTCGCCAGGAAGCCGAAGAAGCGGTAGGGTGCACGTTCTGCATGGGCACTCCCTTAACACGTGCTCGGCCACCTGAAGATTCTGGCCATTGGCGCCAGCCCAGTCCACACCCCCGAGGCATCAGTGACCGGCGCTCTTGGCCTCCCAGAGTAAGTTGCTTAGTGCCACTCACACGCTGGAGTCTCCCCATCCTTACCTACAACAATTTATCTCCCCAGACCCAGAGACTCACAACCAATGAACAACCCTTCCTGTATTCGGACGGGGCGTTAACTGACGCTGATGATGATGATGATGTCTGCCCTTACTACCACCCTGCTAACTTCCACGACCCCACTCACTGTATGCTACCCTCGAGTGTTTGTTGTGCACCCATTCACCCTCCACCAGATAGTGCCGACTCACAAATTAGCCTCAGCGAGAAACCTCACACAGACACTACTACCTCCCGCTCCCCAGGTCAAACCTCCTCCCCAGATTCTGACAGTGACCCCTACTGGACGCCTGTCACGCACCTTACCTCCAGTCACCACCCACGACCTCTGGCCTGTTGTACACAAGTCTCAGTACTACCACCATCTCCCTCGGCCTCCCCGCGCCTGTCGCTGACCACCCCAGCCTTAACCACTGATTCCTGGACAAACACAGTGGATACAAATTCCTACCGCAACCCCCACGTCCAACCCGCTCAACTAACCTCAGAATCATGGATACCCGCAGAGGAACACAACCCTCAAACCCATGCCGAGAACCACCGCCCTACCATAACCACTGTGTTTTGGGCACCCACAGTGAACACCTCTCAACCCGAAGGTGAGCGACCTCCTGAACCCACTCATTACTGGACACCCACAGTGGACACCCACCTTCTCAGTTATCTGGAGGAGCAGCATGTGCACACTGGTGACACACACGAGACAGTTCAGGACGCCCCCAACTCCCTCCCCTCCGCACACAAGCCCCTCAGTGCCTCCACCTCTGTCGTCAACTGCCCAGAGGCCTCCTACCCACTAACACCCTCACTCGCCGCCACCCTGGCCTGTTACAGCTGCCCGCTACTAATTTTCATGAGCGTCATGGACCTTACTAGCGAACATGTCTCGTCGGAAAATGGGCGTGCATGTGACCGTCCCACTGGTAGCCTTGGGCCTCCCCCTCCATCCCTCGCCCACACAAATCCTCCCCTATGGGAGGCGTTCAGCTCCACCTCATCCGTGGAGTGGGACCCTACCCTCAAGTACAGTGCCTCGGAGAGTGAGGTGGATAGTGGGTAGTTAGTGGTGGTGGTGGTAGTAGTGTTGATGACGTCCACCCAGCGAGTCCAGTAGAGGGAGCCCGCTGTAGCCCACCATAGTGCTCCTCCAGCTCTCTCCTCCAGCTTCCCTCCACCATTCCTTACAAATGGCGTGCTGATAATTCCTCTTTCTGTGATATAATGGATTTTGGCACCGATATTTATCTTGGTCAGTTCCTAATTGTGCATATTTTTACTTGTTTCAGAAATGATCCAGGAGTGTGTCTACGCTAGCTCATAAGGGGGAATATTGTGGCATTTTTGGAAATAAATGTATTTATGTAGAAGTCTTGTGTTTCACTTGAACCCAATCACTTAACTAGGAATTTTAGATACAATATGTGAACATAGGGCTTGTGGCACTTAGTTTACTGTACTCTGGTCTAAGCATTACACGAAGTTTAATATTAGTACAGTATATAAATAAACGATCTTCCTCTCTCTCTCTCAACAAGGAAGGTATTCATGAACTGTGTTGACATAGTCATGACTTTATGAATAAGGTTACAGAACTTTCCATGGCCTGAAAAGGAAGGTTGAGAAGCATTGACTATTGATAACACACACACACACACACACATGGTGAGAATTTATACATGTGACTTAGATATGTCGTAGTTTTATAAATATGACGTGAAAATTGCAACAGTGTGTGATTAATAATAGTTATGGCACAAGTGAACAAAAAGGTGGAGGTATTATATGAGTTTTAGTGGAGTTTACTGTTAAGCTTCCTTCAGTAACCACTAAAGCCAGTAATATTTATAACAAAACTAATAACTATGAGGAGAGTGAGTGTGTGTGTGTGTGTGTGTGTGTGTGTGTGTGTGTGTGTGTGTGTGTGTGTGTGTGTGTGTGTGTGTGTGTGTGTGCAGAATCACAGACAGGTTTGCTCCAGTGTATTGAGTGACCACAAGAGGCAGGGAGGAGACGTGTGTATATATACTGTTGCTCACACTTGAGTGTTTGATTGGAACTTATTTACTTAAGAATGTTGTAACTGGAGGAGTGACGCGATCATCCCCTGAATATATCAACTGGAGTCCAAACACTGAAGATGGCAGAGAGAGAGAGAGAGAGAGAGAGAGATATGATGACGACGACAATCTGCCACTCTCTCTCTCTCTCTCTCTCTCTCTCTAAGATATTACAATTTCTTATTAATCACAATACTCTTATATGTTACTAATATAAACATTACACCTGAACAGAAAACCATTATAAATACACTACAAGTAATATATGAGAGAATTGTATTTAATATGAAGAATTACACTTAACTATGCAGCAGTTGCCTTCATGTATCAAGAATGTGACGAGAGAAACTGGTTCATTCATTGGTTTATTAATAGATGGGTATTACTGTAAGAGGAGGTCCAGGTAGTCGGGTCTCACCTCACTCCTGCACAAAAACTAGTGTTGGGGGGTCCCACGTGTTGTCCCAGCCCCCCACACTCTCTGATGGTGGCTAAGCGTGGATGGCTCAGCTTATCTTTACGGGTCACTTCTGGTCAGCTTAGTTAATGGTTCGCTATTCATAGTGGATGTGATGCCAGTGAGATATTATAAAAAGGTTGGGTGATAGTAAAGGGTAGTGTTGGCTGGTACACGGAGACGTTCTAAGTAATAATGATATTTTTGTGTGATCCTTCTTCCTTAACTTACAAAATTTACACGTAGAAAAAAATGATAATTACTTAATTAAATGTGATCAGTACTTTTTTTTTTTGCGGGCAAGGTATAGTGTTTTCGTACTTCATCAAGGAAAAGATAATCACATGAAAGTCCCCCAGCTTGTTTCGCTTGAAGACTAATCACCCTAATGCTACCGAGGGGGTCTAAGATAGGTAAATTAGGTTAGGTTAGGTTAGCATTAGTAAATTTACGTTACATTACGTCACGTCAGAGTGATTAACCTCCAGGTAAATAGCTGGGGGGCGAATCTTCAGGTGACTCGAAAAATATATAGGGAAGTAAAACCCAGCAGCCGCAGATGTCCTCCACTGAACGGCGTGCGTGCGTGCGTGCGTGTGTGCGTGTGCGTGTGTGTGTGTGTGTGTGTGTTATTTCATCATGTTGTTAGTAGTCATGCAAATGTGTAGAGTTCATGAGGTCATCACTTAACGTGTTTACTTTAGTTAAATAGTTAGGTAATAAACTCGCCACAGTAATACTCGTGACCGTGCACCTAATGTTCAGGTATTAAGAAATGTTTACACTTGTTTAACATTAATATTTACTGTAACTTTTTACATTATCTTGTTGAACAATGTTGGCAGTCACTTGTAACTTATTTATTTAGTGTTTGTGAGTATGTGCTGTTATAATAATAATAATAATAATACGAGGATGGCCGGCCCTAGGGGCACCTACAGTAGGCGTGAGTTGTAGAATAATAATAATAAAAAAAAAAAAATAATAATAATAATAATAATAATACGAGGATGGCCGGCCCTAGGGGCACCTTGGCGTGAGTTATAGAAGCTGTCGTCAACACAACAACCACACCCCAAGTTAGCGCGTTGCATGACCTAGTGTCAAGGAATAGTCCGAGAAGTCCGGACAACTCGCCAACTGCATTGGTTAACCATAACCCTGGAACACGATTAACATCCAGGCTCCCAATTACTGCTGGGTAGACAGAGGTAACTGGCGTAAAGAAACTTGCCCGTAGTTTTACATTGTCTCCAATTCAGATGCTTGACTGAATGTTGTAAAAATATATACAGAATGTTGTTCATTTGTGCACTCTTTTACTACATATGAGTGATGTAGTTACTTATTGTTCAGTTATACGTCGTCTGGTCTGCATATAATTATTGAATGGTGAGTATTAGATGTTACCTGTAATACTGTGAGGTGTGTGACGGCTGCCCCGCCTCGCCTGGTGCGGTTCAATAGGTCAGAGTGTTGGGGGGCGTCACTCACCTGCTGTTGTGTGAGGCGGAAGTGGCAGGTGAGTGGTGGATGCTGGCTTACGACACTGACGGAACATTGATTTACCTCCGTCCGACAGCTGTTCGGCCATGCAAGAAGTGGTTGAATCTGTCTTTGGTGTTGTAGTTCTGTCAAGAGACAGTGATGTACAGGAAACATGTTCTCTTGGTGGAACAAAAGATAACCTTCATAGGACAGATGTTATCTTTTGTAGTCGTGGTGTGATCTTACTATAGTGCGGTTTTTTTTTCCAGCCGAGATGCTCCGCCCCCTCCTCAAGAGTTACAGCTGATTGGCTGTTGCAAACCTGTTCGATTTCGTCCTGAAGTAATGATGTATTTGTAAATGAGTTTATTCATAATCGTTGGGATGACCGTTTCTGACGAGAAAGAAATTAGCTAAGTTATATAAAGATATGCATTCATTATTTAAAAAAATTTGCATGTAGGAAGCTTACTAAGACAAATTACGTATCAGTTAACCTACATTATGCAAAAACTAACATTTTAAAGGATCAGAATTACATTTAAATATTACACGGCCCCTAATAGTTGGTGGATGAGTGTGACTACAATATATTGGCATTGAGTATGACAGACTGGGGAGCTTGGCCGCTCGAGCCATCAGCAGAGTCGGGAAATATGAAGTTGTTCGCAGTCATATTTCCCGCCTCTGCTGACGGCTGTCAATATTTCAATGTGATTCTGATATTTTAAAATTTTAGTTTTTGCATAATGTAGTATTACTGATACGTAATTTGTCTTAGTATGCCTTATTGTGGGTAAAAATAAGTATATATTAAATGCATCCTCCGAAAGCGTAAATTTGTTACTAGAGTTTAAAAGTTATTATTCATGTATAAGGTTTCTGATAAACTTCCTACGTGCTCATGTTTGAAGTAATGAATGTATGTTTCTTAAAATTTCTTTCTCGTCAGAAACGGTTATCCCAACGATTATGAATAAACTCGTATACAAATACCCATCAATGTCACGGGTTTGATTCCCGGGCCGGCAGAAGTTGTTTGGACACTCTTCCTAGTCCCCTTGGTCCCTGTTCACACAGCAGCAAAGTAGGTACCTGCTGTAAATCGAAAGTTGCGAATTCGTGTTCAGGGACAAGTAGTTGGAGCTTCCAATAACTTGCTTAGACATAAACCATTGACTCTTCAGACTTCTACGCCCTTGACTCTTCAGACTTCTACGCCCTTGACTCTTCAGGCTTCTACGCCCTTGACTCTTCAGGCTTCTACGCCCTTAACTCATGAGACATAAAGGCAAGCATGAACTTAGCATGCTTCCCTGTTGGGCGCTGTAAACGCTTCTGCACTTCACCTTACACTAGGATGTAAGGGGGGGGGGAAACATTACTTCAGGACGAAATCGAACATATTTGCAACAGTCAATCAGCTGTAACTCTTGAGAAGGGGGCGGTGCATCTCCTCTCAGATGGAAAAAAACGCACTATAGTAGAGAAGAAATAATCACAATTCATTATTGAAACGAACTCTTATTAACCGACGTTGATATAACAAGCTTGTTGTGGTATTCTTACACTAGGGTGGGCAAGGATTAGTCATAAGCTACGTCAGCACGGGCTTGTCAAAAAGTTTTATTGGTAAGTTACTGAGTCCTTTAAGTCTCTGAGGATTGGCATTTATATTCCTTGTTGACGCAGAAAGAATTTCCAAAGGTATTGTACGCGGGAGTCACACGTAGGGCCACCACTTACATCTCCTAACTGATGCAGTTATGACACATACACGTGGTGACTCACACACTGCCGGGGTGAGTACAAGCCACATTATGAACTGGTGTCAGGTTACCACAATTACCTTACCACATGTCAGCTTATTTTTAAGAGGATTAAATAAATGTAAATTCATCTTAATAATTACATGTTTGACAGATAAACACCATCTTTCGGTACAATATGTTGTCCATGGGATGTTGACGCAGTGTGTAGGATGGAGTTATGGGTGTTGGGGGCAGGTAATGTGTGTACTGCAGAGGTAAGAGATGGTGTAGGTAGGGTGAGACAGAGGCGGCGACCACGACACCGAGGTAAGAGGTTGCCTTATGAATCACCTGCTGCTGCCAGGGATATAATCAACCATCATTAAACACAGCTGAGACTGAAATATCTTTTAAGAAATTATAAGAATGGGTGGACATCAGGTAGTGAACACAAGTGGGGGTAATCTGGCGGGCCTCTGTGATGAATAGGGATACCTTGCTGGTGCCCGTGGCCTCCTCACTACCACCAGGTGAAAGTACCTTACTTGACGCCTTTCTTTCCTGATGTCATGTCCGCCCGTTCTTTTATAATATCGTACTGGGGAGAGAGTTGG